TGACAGTTAACTTTTTCAAAGGAGCAAACCACATGCCCAAATGCAAGTAACATCATTGACCAGTAAATATTTATAATCACAACACCTCCTAGAATAGTAATAGCTCTATACTTGGGTCTTTTTCTTTAAGGTATTTCCTTAAGAATTGAGTTCTCACAAATTTATAAATTAAGACAACTCTGATTCCTAGGGAGCGTCTGAATTCATGTTCAGACACTCTACTTTCTAAGAAGCTAAAATAAAAGGGGATTAATCTCACTTAATTCACATTTTTTCAAAGTGCCTAAAATGCACAAATCAATTACTTACCATATTACTACACAAAGGTTAAAACAGCAAGATCATAATTTTATGTATGCATCTTTACACAATTGAATTTGTTTTTCAAAAGCAAAAGGCAAACTATTGCAACAGTATTTCTTCCTTATCTGCAGTGAAGTAAATGAAGCAATGAAAACTGAAAGGAATATGCAAAGAATTTATGAACAGAAGTAGAAAAAGAATTGACACAGTAAAGAACAAGCAAAACTGCATCAGAATGACCTTTTTTATCTTAGGAAAAAAAAAATAAAAATCGAAGAACCAGAGATACATCAGTCAATGGTAAAAGACAGTGTAATAATGTAAGTATATAAAATCCTCTTAGCATTTGAAAGCCATATTTGGGCAGTTAAATAATATAGTATTATTTAACATCTTTAGGTTGCTTCATTACATGGGAAAGATCTTAAATACTTCACTAATCAGAAAACTGCTGAAAATGGCCCTTTGTACTGCGTTCAAGCAGAGCACAACTGAAAGGCTATTCTTATATTTCAAGCAAATATTTGCCAAGATAAACTGATTCCCTTTGGCCAATAAGAACTGAAAAAGAAAATTAGTGATAAAAGATCAAAATTCAAGTTCTTATTTCTATTAGAGAATAGTATTTTGAATAACAGCATTTTTTAAATACTGGTTATCTGACAACACTTAATCTCAGAACAGCATTTTGTACAGGACAAATATATAACCTGCACTTTGCTCACTGAACCACTCAGACTTCACTGAATGAGTACAATCTTTTATAACAGAAACTTTTATTTTGCTTTGAAATTGTAAGAAAAATCTTCTATATCCTGCTTATTAGCCTGGATTGGCATCTGTTAAGAAATGATTTAACCAGAAGTCAACACAACTTAAGGCATTTATCCACTGAATAAAACCTAGAGTACTACGTGGTATGTATGGACTGAAGACTTATGTGGAATCATGGGCCCTAAGATTTTTTTAATCATTATTATTGTATTTTGCTTTTCCTTCCAAGTTTGAAAAATTTGAGCCAGCACTGTGTTCACAGCTGATGCACTCATCTCCTGTCCTTCTCAAACTTAACTTTTAGGAGAGACTTACAGCAACAGGGCCAAAAACTTTTTCTTCTTTATATGCAATTTTGCTTTCTGTCCATCCTAGTATCATTTTAACTCTAAGTGTGACAGTAATTATCCTTGTCTATTAATGACAAGCTCACAGGAGTAGTAGAAAGTTAAAAAAATAAAAATAAATAAATATCAATTAGGTCTGGTGGATGGAGGGGGGAAGAGAACAACAATAAACGGTTACTACTTTCCACTACCATCTATCCCTGGTCCCTGATTAAAGACAGCATGAAGGGATTTTTGAAAGCAATTCCTCTGTTTTACAGAAAGATGCAAATTATAGATTTTTCCACAAGAAAGATGTGTCTGTTTCATAACTACATTAATTTCATGGAAAGATGTTCACACTTCTATTTAAAATTTTCTCAGAGTTTCTTCAGTGACTTGCAACAACATATACCTAGAAGTAATACTGCCTTGAAATTTATTTGACAAAATTTTACAGGCCAAATTCCACCAAAATAAATAAGTAAGTAAATAAATAAATAAGGTTTTGTTCGAGGCAACACCAGACAAACCCAAGGAGGCTGTGTTTTGTTTTTAACACAAAACAAACCAAACAACCACCTTATACTGAGTTTAGGATTTTAAAGCTAGTGTGTTTTTTTTAACTGCTTAAATGATTTCGAAGTCATGCTCCTAAAAAGGACTAGACTTCAATTACTGAAAGTATCCAAGTCAATATAGCAATACCCATTTACTCCTTCAGATGATTCAGTCCAGAACATTTAACACTAAACAAACACATTGGCAATGCTACGGTACAAGAGGGCATAAGGTAACTCAAATTTGGATCATTCAGAAGAGATTACAGGTTTTTGAAAGGGGCTAGGGGAGGAGAAAGGGAGGTTATGTTTCTTTTTCGTACTTAAAACATTACCTCCCGATTACCTCCCCTGTTAATCAAAAACATTCTGTACATTCCTTCATCTTAGAAAGTAATCAGTAAAGCAGACCTATCTAGCTCTTAAAAAAGAAAAAAAAAAAAAGCTGGAGGTAATAAGTTGTGAATCATAGTGGTTGTTCCCTTCCAAATAAAACATCTGCATGGGGGAAGGGAAAAACATAGATTTTAATAAAACTGCAGAAAGGCAATCAAATGCCCTAGTTCAACAGGGAGTAGCAAGCATGTGCATGGCGATTGAGATTTGTCCTTGTAGCATTTAATCCTACTCATATTGTGCAATTCTCCTCAGCACGGTCAGAGCAACCACAACTCCACTCCCACTGGATGGAAAATTCCACTCAGGCTTAAGAGAGACTGTTCAAAAGCCTAATTACCAATCTTCCTCCTAAGCCCCGTTTTGCTCAGAGAACTGCTCACTTGCTTGCAAACTAAGCATTCTGCTCATCCTCTCAGAGCAACAAATGAATGCCATTTGAGGGTTGAGCCCTGGAAAGAGTCTGAAAATCAGTGATGAGTTAAAGCCACCCTTCCTCTCTCCCTACCATGTAAGCAGGATCTATCCTTGACAGTGTCACAGCAAGAAAAAACTAAAAATCTCACAATAAATTGTAGCAATTAGATGTTATAATTGCAATAGGCTACCGTGTAATTATATGTGTACATAGATGTTATATAATATAATTCTGTATTGAGCAATTCGAAGCACTGGTTAATACATACAATTTAATGTCTCAATGAACATGGCCTTTGGCATCAGGCCGTCTCTTTGATCCCAAGTGACTACTTCACAGCCATCTTCATTACTGCCTTCCAAAGAACAACCAAGTGACTAGGAAAAATTATTTCAGTTCATCTGCTCCTGTAGAAAGGAAATTCACAAGCAGAATAGAAGGGAAAACATCAAGGTATTTATCTTTCCCAGGTAAATCCCTGGCATTCACTCCAGCTAACTCAGAGTGAACTGAAGACAATCATGGTATTCACAGAACAAAGGCAGAAGAGCCGTACATGGAAATGCAGTCACTAATATCGCATCGAGCTATCTCCTAAATGCATTCTACTGCCATGCAAATCCCAAAGTATTGTCCCCTGGCAACCATAAAAAATGCCAATGTTTTGCTACATAGCCCAAGAGAAACCCATGTGTGTACACTCAAATACAATTTGCTGTCTGTAATATATATGTATTTTATTTTGGGCTTATACCAGAATCCAGAGTGCTTACTGCCACATTCAGAGGATAGCAAATGGAAAAAACATCGTCCTGTACCACACCACTCCTCTTTAGGAACACAGTCACTAACAGTAGTTAAAAGGAGGGTAAGCCCAATGTCTTAAATGTTTCAGGTTCTTCTTGCAAAGGTGTTGTTGGGTTTTTCTCCTCAAGTCTTCTGAAAGGATTTAAATAACCACAAAAAGTAATTGTGACTACTGTCAAAGACTTACTTTGCTGGTGGTGTACAGACCTTGCTAACAGTAGTAGGTAATACAAAAAACAAAACCCCAAAGATGTAACCAGAAGATTATCAAAGGTAAATCTATTACTGACGTGGGAAACTATGCCGAAACATTCTACTGGAAAATAAACATAAGCTTTCTCTGGTGTAGTAACAAAGGCAAAAAGACAACGTTAGTTAATGAACGTAACCAACAAATACAGCTTTAAATGTTTCTCCACGAAGCATTTCAGATTTTAATGTGGCAAAAAAAAAAGAACAAAACTTTTAAATGGCTAAACACAGTGCATTTAAAAATGCTTAAGTAGTTTTTACTTAAAAAAAAAAATAAAAAAATTATTCTTGAGAATTCCAGATAAACATCATAAGAAGCAAGAGATACATCACATTTACAGTGAAGAATAAGCAGGCTGTTATTTTTTTTTTAAACTTAAATCTATCAGAAGATCTTAGGGTAGAAATGACTTTATCTCCAAAGGAACAAGATCTGGCACAGAACTTTCTCAGCCTACTGCTCTGAAGCTTTCACAAATATAGCAAGACTTCCTCTCAAATAGCGATTATGCTTATTTTCCCTCACCCACCACAGCCCTGTCCCCTTATCAGGCATCCCATCCCACACCAGCATCATACAGAAAAGCAGAAGTATCTGTTGAGTCTTTCAATATGACCACCATATAAATGAAAGTTAAAGTCATCTTAGAAATATATTAGATATAGGATAAGTCCACCTCTATGCAGCTATGTAAGTACATACAAATAGGATATGGAGCTAGGTATGCACATGCATGCACCTACAAAAAATAATTAGTGAGTTTATAAGCTACTGACTATTTATGAGTTACCAACAACCATTTTGCAGGACTGAAAAATACCATCAAGAGTTTAGCAATGCAAGATTTGTTTTACAAAGCCAGTCAAGCTCATCAGTTTACATCTACCCCCTCTCTGGCAGTAATCAAGTAATCATTTTTTTGCAGATGAAAATTTATGAACAAGTCACACAATGGCTTGCATGAGCTGAAATTCTTTCCATTCCCCTCAAACAAGACTTAATAAGAAATGAAAATACAACCAATCAATACCAGTGTTTTTCCTGTAAGAACGCTTAAAGCTGAAGAGAAGCTTTAAAAAGGCATTTCATTAAAAAAGCAAACACACCCAGAGATTCTACAAAGAACTCCCATTATATGAAAAACTACCAGAGAACTATCTTACCTGATAATAAATGGTACAAATGGTGCCATGCTGAGTGCTGAGTAAGTGCCATCCAGTGGAGATGGATACAGCTTTCCCAGGATTAAAAGCAAAAGGAACAAACTCGGATGGATTTTCAGCTCTTCAGCTTCACTAAAGAAAAAAGTAGGAAAAAGCTTTTGGTGAAGTATCATCCTTCATGCTGGTCTTGAGACTCTTCCACACGCACAGTACTCTTCAGCACTTCTGGTTCAAGAAGATGCACTAGGCAGACCATGGCAAGATGTGCAAACTTTGCTAGGATCAAACATGGCATCAGATCTAGGGCACCATTGAGGACTCCTCTATGAAAGCACCTTAAGGCTGTGCTGCCTTTCCTATCCTACATTGTCCCAAGCCTCCTTTATCTGTAACAACGGCGAGCTGCCCTTGCTTTGAATTAGCATTAAACACCAGAACAGGTATTGTTTCTCCAAGAGCTGAGCAACTGAGAAAGCTGAGTTACAAAAAGATGGTTTAGAACAACAACAAAAAAAGAGTCTCTCTCATTTGGGAAAGAAACGTGCATTTGGCAAATGGCTGGCTGGATTAAAGAATAGCTTTTGTCATCAACAGCAAGTGGCTACTATTCATGCTGTAAAAACAACCAGAAATCCAAATAAAAAAAATCAACAACTCCTTATGTAGTTAATGAGAAAAAAAAAAGGCAAGATTTAATTTGCACTGAAAAAAGCATTAAAGGACAGTATCTCAGGCAACAGTTTTCCATCTTTTTCAGTGCAAAGACTTCCAAAATTTTCTAGCAATGACACTGTCACCCTTCAAGCTGTCAGGTAAAGCAGACTGCTGCACAGGATATATGCACTAGAGCAGGGACTGCACAACATGCAATGACTGTCAAAACAACTTCTTCCCAACTATTCACCACAGGCCCATTAAACAGACAGCTGAAGCTCTCCTCTAAATCAGCCGCTGAACTTCCACAGTTTATACCATAACATTTTAAGAAAAAACAAAGGCAGTACTGGTTTACTTTAAAAGTTCATGAACCTGGGAGTATTAGCATCAGCATCATCCTTAACTGTGTCATCTGCATTGATCAAACTGGAGCTCTCAGCCACCATTTGTGGACTCAGTAAAAAAAAAAAAAAAAAAAAAAAGATCAAGGACCTTCCACAAAGTCAGTGTGTCACAGTCTAGAAAGTGGTCATTTTGGGTCACACTAGGCCTATGACCTTCTATCATTTAAACATATTAGGAAGTCTCATTAAAAATGAGACAGTTGAACAACCAGTTTCTGTCCTGCCCTGAAAAATACGCCTTCTTTAATACCTGATCGTAGGAATGCAGCAACTACAGGGAGGAATAAAAGCTGCTACTAATGATTCAATAGTACTTCATATTCCAGAGCCTCACTGTAATGTGCAAGTTGTAGGAAAAAGGCTTAGAAAAGCACTAGAAGAACTACATATCTTCAAGAACACTGATGAAAATAGCAGCATTATGGTATATGTGACAACTCAGTTTAAACTTTACATTGCACTTTATTATTGTAAAGCTTTCAGAGATATCATCTTACCTGTTTGAAGTGTTGGCTACAACCTCCAACTGCTTGAGAAGGAAAGGATAAAGACTTGGAAATCGAGAGAAAAACTCCCTTCCTGTCATTCTGCAGAAGGGAATGAAGAAGAGTTACAGTTAGCATTCTGCAGTAATTAGTTATGCTCAAAATACCGGTTTACTTAGTAGATTTCTGATGCTATGGTGAACTCAGAACCAGAAGAACCATGAACTCACAATGAACTGCTTTCAAACAAGACACAATGTTTTCATAAAAATAAGAGACAATACATCATCGTTTATCCAATTCCAGTAACTCTGCCTGTATGTGTGCATGCTAGCACTTTGTCTGCTGAGCTGTTCAGGCCTTTCAGGAAAAAAAAAAAAAAAAAAAAAAAAAAGGAGTTTAGCCCCTTAGTCGTGCTAAAAAAAAAAAAAAAGACACAGCGTCTTAAATTCTGGCACCATTTTAACAACATACTGGTTGATCAAGAGAAGTCTGCATTTGCTTTAGTATATAGCTCACGTACCAAACAGCTAACAAAGTGTATGCAATACATTCACTAATAGTTGGTCATATTTTACTGATACTGAGCAGTATTTCAGAATAATAATTCCACGTGCAAAACACAGCAGCAGCCATGGCTGACCTTCCATTAGCTCCCTTCACAGTGCTGCCTCCAGCACGTGGCAAGGGTGATGTTTCCAGGCCACAGGCTGCCTCGCACAGCCATAACCACCACATTCAAAACAGAACAAAGCACCGATACCTATCAGCTCACTACTAGCCAGAACTAGTAAGTCAGCAGAGTTCAAGCCACAACTGCAAGTCAACCCAAGATAAAAAGAGTGAGGAGAAGTCTTCTGCTTTTGTTTGCTTTATAGCCTTCTGACCAGACAGAGGACAACATCATGGCTTGTAGGAAGACATCTAGCATCTTCTAAGCAGGAACAGCTGATAGGTTAGGGAAGTTCTAACTAGATGGATGCGCTATGCAGATGAAACAGAGTTCCTTCAAAAACAAATAAATAAAAGGCCAACCATTTACAACAAAAAAGCCAGCTACAGAGTTTACTTGCCACGCGATCAACTAGGATAATTAAGTGCGTTTTAGCATGACGCCAATGCAAGGCTTTAAACTAGCAAACAGATCCAGGTCTACAAAACAACATGGTAAGATGGCAAGACTAAATGTTTGTAAAAATAAGCACAAAAAAACAAGAGTAAATCAGCACGTGACAATTATCAGCAAAGCTTCTTCCAGCACTCAGGCTTACCCACAGGCCACAAAATAAATACAGTGAAAAAATTGCCAGACAGAAACAAATGCTCAAACAAAGAGGTACATACAGGAAGCTTCCTCTAGGCATGTACGAGCAGTACACTGAAATGCTGCAACTAAAAGCATGACCAAGGAGTCTGCAATAGCTATTGGGACTACGAAAAAAAAATCAGTTAAAAATGTGGATGAAAACATTCTGACTGTGAATGAACTTAGACTGAAGTACTAATGAGGATGGTTTAACACACCAGTACTGATAATTGGTGGTTATTTAAACAGAAAACACACATGCACTTTCTTCTCACACACAATGTCTGCCAGCCACCAAATTCTCCGAATGTCCCACAGGCAGATTTCAAAACTTTACTTCTCCAGCTCACCTTCAAAACACCTTCAAGTTTTCCATACATACATGTATGTTACGTAGGAAGCTGAAGACAAAAAAAGTGCCAAACAGCACAAAGCAAGAGCTACATAAAAATATGAAATCAAAAAGCTCATGGCATTACATGTAAAAGCTCAGTAAGATATAAAACATTAAAAACTCTGCATTAAAAAAAAAAAAGTCAAAAAGATGCTTTAACATCTCTACCTCTTGTGCTATTCAGTGCATCAGGCAAAAGCAGAAAGTAGGCTAAGTTTCCTATGGAAAGTAGGGCCCCTGGTTAGAGGCTTAAGAGAAGACTGCATGCAAGGAACATCTCATGCAGCAACTATTTTTGAACAGTCTCGTTTTCTGTATGTTAACAATTCAGTAACCAAATTTGAATCAATACTACATATGGAACTGAATATTCTTACAAAGGCAGCCCTAAAATTCTTTGTCATTAGTATAGTTTCATGAACCTTTTTGACAGGGAAAGCAAACAGATACTGCATTGAATCATAGAATCATAGAATCATAGAATATCCTGAGTTGGAAGGGACCCTTAAGGATCATCAAGTCCAACTCTTGACACCGCACAGGTCTACCCAAGTTCAGACCATGTGACTAAGTGCACAGTCCAATCTCTTCTTAAATTCAGTCAGGCTCGGTGCAGTGACCACTTCCCTGGGGAGCCTGTTCCAGTGTGCAACCACTCTCTCTGTGAAGAACCCCTTCCTGATGTCCAGCCTAAACTTCCCCTGCCTCAGCTTAACTCCATTCCCGCGGGTCCTGTCGCTGGTGTTAATGGAGAAAAGGTCTCCTGCCTCTCGACACCCCCTTACGAGGAAGTTGTAGACTGCGATGAGGTCTCCCCTCAGCCTCCTCTTCTCCAGGCTGAACAGGCCCAGTGCCCTCAGCCGTTCCTCGTACGTCTTCCCCTCCAGGCCTTTCACCATCTTCGTAGCCCTCCTCTGGACACTCTCCAACAGTTTCATGTCCTTTTTATACTGTGGTGCCCAGAACTGCACACAGTACTCGAGGTGAGGCCGCACCAGCGCAGAGTAGAGCGGGACAATCACCTCCCTCGACCTGCTAGCGATGCCGTGCTTGATGCACCCCAGGACACGGTTGGCCCTCCTGGCTGCCAGGGCACACTGCCGGCTCATATTCAACTTGCTGTCTACCACGACCCCCAGATCCCTCTCTTCTAGGCTGCTCTCCAGCGTCTCATCGCCCAGTCTGTACGTGCAGCCAGGGTTTCCCCGTCCCAGGTGGTAACTTACATAACCTCTCCCTGTTCCACAGGTTACGTGAGGGGAGAAGATAGTCTAATCAAAACCATTAATCAGTAGGTATCTGCAGAAAAGATGCCCAAAGGCGCTTTCAGGGAAAAAAAAAAGAAAAAAAAAGAGAGAGACAACTGCCTATGAGCAGCCTGAATGTCCAGCAATGGTTTCAAGATCATCTTGTTTCAGAGAGGAAACAAGAAAGACTCTGGGTTAGCAGAAATGCTACAGAATGACAAGGCTTTGTGAAAAACAGAGCACTGACTGGAGTGTGAATCCAGTGCCTGGGAATGTCAAGGCGGGAAGGTTTGTAATGAAGAATCAACAGAAAGCAAACCAGCTAGAGTGAGTAAAACCCAGAGGTATTTAGTTGTCTCATTTTTGATTGCTGACCGTGCTTGCTGTTCCTGGAAACGTGCACGCGTTATTAGGCACGCACAAGCGACTGTGTACAGTAACTGAGTGAACAACAACAGAAAATGCAATGGCTCAGATGGTCAAAAATGTCCGTGACACCGAGCCACCTTATTTTCTGTTTCATCATAAGCATGTTGCTTTGAAAAGTGAACACCAGCACTTTAAGGTTTGGCTCATGCATGTTGGTGATATAAACAGACCCGTGCATGTGTACACACGCACAGATCCGAGCTAGATTTCGCAAGTAATAACTTATCCGTATCTTTAAAAGGAGATAAGTACTTGATACACCCATTTGTAAAGGAGTATACCAACCAAATCTCGACTGAAACAAATCACAAAATCAGTTAGAGGTTCTCATGGAACAAACACTATCCTCCTTTTCTAAATTATATCTGACAGAATGACAGATTGAAGTTGTAAGTACAGAAAACTACTCATTCTTTCTCTCAGTCACAAACACAGTTCCAAAATAGTTTTGATGTTATAACCACCCATAGTTAAATCCTTAAGATCAATAGCTTACAGATTACAAGACTTTAAAGCTACCCTCCCTAAAACATGTTTATAAGAGAATTATGAACAGCCTTAAGACACTAATATGTCTCTCAAGTCCAGCTGAAATCATTTTACATGGCATCAGAGCTCATCTTTGACGGTATCATAGACTCTCTAATAGTATTTTCTTTTTTCCTAATAGTAACCCAAAAGTAGCACAATTTCACAATTTCAAATGGGATTACTGAGATCTAAACAATGGATTGGTGGAAGGTTATTTACTGAAATAGGAAGCAGTGTAATGAAACAGGAAGATTATCAGTGGGCTGATGATGCTTACAATAAATCCCCACTCCCCAGAGTAAAATGTCATCCAAGCACACAGTTAAAACAGTGGTTAAAATCAAAACTCCCACAGATAAATAATGGAAGGATCCTTATCTTCCAAAAATAACTTGTAAAAAATCATTTGTAAAACCACGTAAATACAAAATACTTCTGTATGTAAGTAGGAAGGAATATGCCTCAGATTCTTCACTTTCACAAGGTGAATACTTGGTCACGTGCAAGCAATTCAGCAGAAAGGGAAGGTAAGAATTTAGAGCACCATCCCAAAGAATCAAGTTGCACTTACCATTCCTAACTATGAGCCAAACTAACTCTTTCTCACCTTTGTCTGATCCGGAGTCTATTCAAGAGGGAAAGATGATGAGGATGGCAGCAATACAGGAGTTTCAGAGTACATAGTGTTCATATAAATTAGCAAAAAGTTACTTTGAAGGCATGGGATGCAACAAAGGACAGAATCTGATTCCTAGCAGAAGCATTTGGATCATAACAGTGAGTCACAGCTAAATTAACCAAAATCAACTACTAGCTCTAGTAGTAAAATTTAAAACAGAAGATGTAACTGAAAACAGATTGGCAATCTAAAAAACTTTAGGGAAAAGTCCATTTTAAACCATAAACAAGAGTATAATTTACAGCTTTGCTACTGCTTCATAGGAAAATTTTTAAAAAATATGTTTTTCTCCTAGACTAGAAGCTTTTATTATATTCTTGATTGTCATTAGCTCTTCTATTCAATCGCCCCTGGACTTTTATATGTATATACACTTTTTTTTTTTTTAATTTCCTTTTATGACTTTTCAGAGTAGAATCTTGGGTGGCTTGCAGTAAGATAAAAATCATGTATGTGCAAGTTTCCATCTTATCTCCTTTGCTTATGAAGACAATCATAAGCGTATCATCAGACTTC